TTTTGTGTTTTTTATTTATTGTATACGTTGATTGAAAAAATCAAAATAGTAAAATTGTATACATTGATTAAAAAAATCAAAATAAGAAAAATCATAAGATTTATATTCCATTTAGAATTGTTATTATAAGATATATTTTAAAATAAATTATCATCTAAAAATATATATTAGATATTAAAAACATATTTATATCATAAATAAATTAAACTTTATTTTTATAAATTTAACATATAGATTTTTATATTTTTAATAGTGTTAAATTATTATAAAATAAGTCTATATGATTGTAGTTCTACCCAAATATTTAAAAATTATCTATGATAGATAAATAAGTCACACTTAAAATATATATTTTTAAAGAAAGTTAGGTTCAAACCAAGTAAATTATAATAAAATATAGTATAACCTAATTTATTTTCATCTTTAATACTAATCGTAGATATAAAAAACTTGTAATAAATAATTATAATATATATTTATACCTTTAAAAGATATATAAAATTTTTAATACTACAAATATATATAAGAAATTAAAAATAAGAAATTAAAAAAAGAAATTAAAAATATAAATTAAAAATAAGATTTCCGACGGAAAATTCCGTCAAAAATTTCTGACAGAAAATTCTGTCGGGAATTTCCGACGGAATAATTCTATCGGAAATTTTCCAGCAGAAATTTTCGATGGATTTATTTTTCTGTCGGAAATTTCCGACAAAATTTTCTGTCAGAAAGTTTCTGTCGGAAATTTCTGACAGATTTATATTTCTGTCAAAAATTTCCGACGAAAAATTTCTGACGAAAAATTCCGTCAGAAATTTTTGACGGAAATATAAATCCGTCAGAAATTTCTGACGGATCCATATCCGTCGGAAATTTTCCGTCGAAAATTTACATTTTTCTTGTAGTGATTTGTTAATAAATGACAATATCTCCACACAATTATCATAACATATTTCCAAGATATCATACAACGTCATCTCAAAACTTATGGATAAAATCAATCACTTATATATGGAGCATGAAACACTACACTACAAGAAAATTGTCATATAGTGACACACACCCTATAATGACACAATATATGTCACCAAAAACTACTTTTACCCACATAATAAATACATTATATGTTGGATATATATATAAAGAGAGGAGTTAAATCTCATTTTAAATTGATAAGATTTCACTTGATTGCATTTCTTATTGTTCTCTGCGTTCATACTTGTTTGTGGTGAATTTGATGTCACAACTTTTATTTTGTGTACTTAAAGACAAATGCAAAATGTTGTTGACATTTTGTCAAATTTAATATTTGAAATTTTACCTTCATGTATTAATCGAGTATAAAGAAATATTTTTTTGAACGAATAGAGTCACACCTTATATTATAAAGAATAATCTTTCTAATTTGATAGGTTCATATGGTCACACCTCTAAAATCTAAAACTTCTATTTTTTTTAGCTCTCAATATTTATTTAAAGATAGATAAATAAGTAAATAACTTTTATTTTCAAATTTAGAATTTGAAGATAATTATAGGTATCACATGCTAACATTGTTTTATAGATACTAATGGGTATCATTTGATATGTTCACTAAACACTTAACTAAAAATATAAGTGATTCATAAATTTTACATAATAATAATAAGGATAAAAAATAATAATATAAAAAATTTGATAGTTTGAAAGCAAATATTTTTTTACAATGATTTAAATCAAAACTCATTCATTTTATAAAAAATTAAATACATATTTAAACTTTTTTATTTGAATTTCTAATATTACTTTGCGAACCAATAACTCTAAAATGTTATTGAAAAAAAAAATTCAAGCTTATTTTTTAACTTAAAATCTAATAAACAATCGTATGTTATGAGAACAACATAACAAAAATTTTGAATCCTTTTTAGTTGAATTTATTTATTTTTAATTAGTTGAATTTAGTTAATTTCTTCTTATTCTTTCAGTCAAATAAATAGATAAAATATTTATTTATTATATTTCTATCATTCAAATAAAAAAAATTATACATTTTTTTCGTATTTTATTTATTGTTATCACTTTTTATCTGTTTAATTTATAATTTTTTAATATAAACATATGATAAAAGTTTATAAAATAATGTATTAATTTATATAAATCTTTAGATATTTTGTTGATTAATAAGAATTACAATTATTGAAATAAAATTAAATACAATATTTTGTATAATATTCTAATCTTCTATTACTAGACCGGTTGAGATGATTATAAACCTTTAAATCAAATAAATGATCTTAAAATATTAATTTAATAATAATTTTATTTTTATGACTTAAAATATACACTTATCTTTAATATTGTTTTATAAAATTGGACATAACTAAAATACTAAATAATCTCAAATTTGACCTAATATCAAATGTGATTTTTTTTAAATCTATAAATTTTCGTATTTTCAGTTACAATTCTTTGAAATTTTCTTGATCCTCACCGCGACCCAAATTAAAATGATGTTATTATATAATTCGATTTATAATGGAAAAAGGGAAAATTTTCTTTGACTTTCTTTTTCATTCTGCCCTGAAATAATAATTTAAAAATTCATTAATGGCATATATTTTATTAGATAAAATTTGTATATATTTTATTAAAAGATATGATATTGACCATTTTTTCAAAGAATCTCATTTATTATTTAATAAAATTTCAAAATTAAATTTATTTATTAACAAAAAAGAATATATTAACGCCTTTATTTTTATCTCTTAACGTTATAAATTAAAGAGTTTATCACCTATATTAATTAATTTATAATAATAATAATTAGCATTATTATTATACAGTGCAATATATATCACCGAGCGGTGACACCAAGAAACGAAAGTGAACAGCGCGTTGTGCCACGCGTTGCACGTTCACAATCAGAAAGTCACTGAACCACTTGATTTGACACGTGTCACCTTTCTACTTACCGTCATATAGCATTCTCTAACAGCCTGGTACGTTAGCACTCCGTGTGTGTGTGTTCGTGCGTGACTGTGCACTCTCTTACACTGCACCACCTCGCTCTCTCCGTCTAAATAGCTTCCTCGTTCTTGTTCGTGCGTTCGTGCGTGCGTGTTTGTTTCTTCTGCAAAATCAAATCTGAAGTTTTTGAATCTCTCAATCTCAAAACACAACCTTTGTTGTTCCCAACACTGTAATCTCTCTATCTCTCTCTCTACCGTTCCTTCATGTCTCTCAATTTCGTTACTTTAGCTCTTGCATGTGGTTTTTCTCGTGTTTTGGTTCGAACCCATGTTGTGGATTTTTCTGGGGGCTAGGTTTTTTTTACTGGCTTTGGAAATTGAAGAGAAAAAAATGAAATGGGGGCTGGAAAAAATTGCATTTTGTTTCCTTGGGGTGAGGTTAAACCCTTGGATTGCGGTGTAACCGTTTAAGGGTAACGGGATTGTTTATTTAGTTTTACTTTGTTTTGGGGTTTTCTATCAATCTCGTCTTTTTTATTTATTGTTTTTGTTGTATTTTCCTGAGTTAAAGTTTTGATCGGTTTCAGGATGGAAAAATTGAAATGGGAAAGGAAAATTTTGATTTTTTTTAAGGTTAAGCGCTTGGATTTTGGTGTTCGGATTATTAATTGGAACATTCAATTCTTCGGTGTTGTAGCAGTGTTTTTTTATTTTTTTTATTTTTAATATTATTAAATTTATTGTTATGAGTATGTTTTAGTTTTAATTGGCTTGTGCTTCATGGTTATATGGTATTTAGCCATGTTTTTTTAAAAAAACTTTTGCAGGTGTTCGTTTTTGCTGCCAAGATTAAAGCACTGAAAGAGGTCTGGTGTGCTGAAACTTTTTTCCTTTACAATTGTGTTTTAATGAATGACCATTTGTGTGTTTTATGCGGCTTTGGTGTCTATGTTGATTCCTTTAATTTTTTTTTCTCTCTTAAATTACTTTCGTTTACTACCTTAACCTTTCTCTTTTAATGTTTCATGCTAACACATTGAATTGATTTGCATTTGGGCTATGTTGCATAATGCATACCCTTTCTATGACTTTTTATTGCTAGGCTTGCTCTTGTGAAAATTGTCTGTTAATTACTATTCTATTGCTTGAAGCTTGTCTTTTTGTTTTTTTGTTAAGTTTTTGGGGCGAAAAGGGGAGGATCTCTTTTATGAGAGTTACAATTGAAATTAGGATTTTGACAGTCTTATCCATTCTAAAAAACTTTTAATTTCCCTCGTAAAATCTGATCTCTATGTTATTTTACTTTATTTAGTTTGTCATATATTGACTGTCTATGCTAAAAGCCTTGTTCAGAAAATGCTCACAATTGAAATATGGATTCTGTTTACCTTCGATTAAATATATTATAACCTACATCTGTGAAGCATTAGTGTGATACACTATGCTAACTTTTTTAGTTTCCTCAGACACACAAAACCCGAAATTTCGGGTGTCTTGGGTTTAGCCAGTGGTATCGCTGATTCAAATAAGGTTTAAGAACTGTATAGTTGCCTAAATTTTTTGCCAACATATTGTTTTTTTCTCATTCTGTTAATAGGTTCAATTACTGAAAAAAAAAATTGAGAATATTGCCATTCTTTGCTGTGGCTCAATCATTATGTATTAGAAATTTCTGCTACAATATTATATAGAAAATATTTTTAATCGTAAAATCCCTGTTAAGTCTCCTTGAAGTTTTATTGTCATTAACATCTTATATGACACTGATAATGAGATAACAAAAGCTGAAAACATCATTACTAACTATTTTTTTAGGCATGATGTGTATTTCCTTAATCAAATTCCTAAAGGAGTAAAATTTCATTTGCGAATTTTTCTATTATTTTTAACCCTCCAAAATGGATATAAAACAATTTTTTTACTTGTTCTACAGAGGAGAGCAGATTCCTTAATTACTCTACATGTATAAAGAAATGCCTCTTTCATATATATCTTAATCAACAATATGCTATTATTAAAAGTTAAAAGTTTTTTTTAATGTGATGTTTTATTTTAAAAGTAATTATATAACCCATGATCTTTCATGGTTTCAGTTTTATGCATTATATCACACTTTAGAACTGTGGGCATACTACCATGACTGATTTGGGTGAGGCAGTTGGAATTATCAAGTCTTTATTTCAATTTGGGACAAAAAAATGAAGTAATTTTTAATATGTCTGAATAGACTATGGTATGTTTATTGGACATCATCAATGATTAATAGCTTACAGGTTCATAATTTTCTTGTAGTTTCTAAGATCGTTTTTCTAAAGGCCTCTAAAAAATCACCTTCCTGATTAAGAATGAGTTTTATAGTAATAGCTATTTTCTATCTTCAACTCAAGTTGTCTTGTCTGAGTTCTGTTTTACTAGCCATCCTATTTTAAAAAAATTTCTTCACTGCTTTAAATTAATTTTGCCGAGATATATGAGCTCAGTAATCAGTAACTAGGCTGTCAATAGTGCGCTATGGCAGCATAGTAGCTGTGGTTTGGTGTTATGGCTGCTATAGAAGTGCAGATCGCAGCTTGTTGCACACAAATTGGCCATGGCATGGCAGTCTCGGAAAACCTTGAAAATGCCCTGAAATTTAAACATTAAAGTTTTATTTAGGAATTTCCAAGAGTATTTTTTCGAAGAAAACATATACAGTTTTGTCGTATATGAAATGAACAGACAAACTCTTTTCGTTATGCAACCAAGCCTCCTCACCTGCCTTTTCCAGGCAGCAGCTTCGTTTTCTGGCCAGCATGTGACTGGTGAAGCTAGTTTCTGTTGCTCTGTTCCCCTTTCCTCAATCCTCCTCCTCTGTTGCTTTCTTTTCCCACTCACTGTCCAGCGATTTAGGAATGCACTCTCTTGTCCCCTCCTCAGTTTATTTTTCACTTTCAATTTGTGTAATTTCCACTTTCTAGTGACAAAATATCTTTGAAAGAGGGAACTAGTTTGATGCACTATCTTTTATTTATTATTCAAGGGTTTCATTTTCTTTTGTGCATCATGGATGCATTTTTGTTAACTTTTTGAGGAGTTGATTTTCAGAAAATTAGCTATAGCTTTCATCCAATTACAGGTTGGTTAGGGTGCATATATTATGGACTAGAAATATAAGTTCTTCACATAAATTAATGCAAATAAATGTCTTAATTCCATGTAACCAAAGTGAAAAATGAATTTAATGCTATAGTCATCATTGGGGTTGAAAGGGACAATAGGAGAAAAGAGTGAGAATATCATAAATGAGTATGTCAAGATGAATGTGTGGCTCCAATTGAAAGAACAAGGTAAGAATTAATTATATATAAGGGGATATTGGATAGAGGAAAAGATGATCGAAAATTTACTTTGGACCATGGTGTTATCAAATTGGGATTAAAATTTTCAATTTCCAAGTTAATTTTTGAATCGTGAATCATAATTTGTATTGAATTGCAAGATTTAGAGACAAGGAAAATAATAAAATATATCATATAGATGTATAGTGTCAATGTAATAATTTTAAACTAGAAATGGATAGAACAACTTAACCATAAGTCTCATAAAACCAAATTATTAGTAACATCCAGTGTTATCAAATGGCAGCGCCATGGCAGATGGAAAAATTTAAATAAACCACCATGATATGGTGGTGGTGTGGTGGATTTCAAATGGTGGCCATGATATGTGTGGCGACCATGGTGCCCATGGAGAAAATGGAAGATTTTTTTTTAAAGAAAAAAAAGACTACTTGGCCTAACCTGAAACCAGCCCATAAGGGTTTAAAATCCTAAATTTGAATCAACATCTCTTTAAGATTAGGTGGCAGAAAGCATCTCTTACTCTCCCTCGTGAAGCTTCCTCCTAGCAACAAGAAGTCTCTTGTCCACTGTCCTCTGTTGTCCTCAATCGACCTCTATCCTCTAGTGACCACTGTCCACCACCTTCTTGGTTAACTCCTTTTTGGCTTTACTTTTTTTACATGTGTTGGAGATGACAATGTTGCATTGGATGAGTAGTCATTTGAGAAAAGATAAGATTCGGAATGAATGTATAAGAGAAAATATATCCTTCACTCTACATACATCTTATACCCTTTCCTCGAGTATAAATACAGGTGTGGTCTAGAGGAAACATACATTTCATCCTACTTGCCATTTACATTCTCTCTCTCTCTCTCTCTCTCTCTCTTCATCACCTTTTCTCCATAACTTTTCAACAGAAGAAAAAGCTGAGTATCTATCTATCTGTTCTTAATTCTTATTGCTGATATATTCTATTTTTATGTTGGGGTTTTCCCTGTCATTTTGATGGAATTTTCACATTAAGACTTGCCGTTAATGCTTGGCTCGTATAGTTGTATATGTTTATACTGTCTTTAGCCCTATTAAGGTATTTTTTATTTCTTGCGATCACTTTTTTTTTGTACTTTATTAGTTATAATTTGCTCCTTTTTTCTTTCAATTCCTGGTAAAACTAACATAAATTTTGCCTGTTGTCCAATCTCCATTCCAAGCAATTGTAGATGAAAAACATACAACCTCTAGAGTTCTTGATTTTCACTACTCTTTCTTTCCTTTGTAGCAGCAGGTTTGGAACAAATGTAATAACTTCTAGATTTTGATTTCAAAATTTGAAACTATGATACCCTGATTATATGTGTGTACATGGTTGTCAATCTCTAGTGATAACTCGTAAACTCGTACGTACGAGTTTAGGATAGCTTACCTGTAAAGTAAACTTGTTTTTGAGTAATCTCGGAGTAATCTCGCGAGATCACTTCCGATATTAAGAGATCACTTTTTTTTTTCACTTACACAAAACGCACGTTTTGTGTTTGGCGTGTTAGGTCACTCATTTAGCCTCGTCTCCTCTCCTCTCCGTTTCCTCTCCTGGTCATCTCTTCCTCTGCGCCTCGTCTCCTCTGCGGCTCCTCCTCCGTGCGCCTCCTCTCCTCCGCGTGCCTCGTCTCCTCCGCGGCTCCTCCTTCGCGCTTCCTCCTCTCCTCCGCGCGCGCCTTGCCTCCTCCGTGCGCCTCCTTTGTGTTTCCTCCTCCACGTGTCTCTTTCTCCTCCGCCTCTCTGCCTCCGCTGTTCTTCTTCTTCGTGCACGACTCACTTTTGTGCGAACCTGGTTAGGGTTTTTAAATTTTACTTTTTTTATATTTGTCTATTTTTAAGAACTTTTGTTTTGTCATTTGTGTGAACTTTTGTTAAGAACTTGTGTTAAGAACATTTGTTATTAATGTAATTTGCTATTTTACTATTTAATATGGAGTTAAAATATTCAATTATTGTTATTTTTATTTATTTATTTATTTATTTTTTATTAAATAATCTCTTACGAGTTTACGAGACGAGTTTATGGAGTTTCCACGAGATTTCGTAAACTCTCAAGATTGACAATCTTGTGTATGTATATATATATATATATATATATATTTTTTTTTTTTTTTGAAATATGGCTTTGTAATTATGCATTTACCGTTTAGTCTTGATATAATAACAGCACCTAGTTCTTGTTTATACAAGTATTACAGTATTTAGAGAGAAGTTTTGCTGCATTGCATCTCTTGTATTGTGATGTACTCCATCACAAGCAACCATGTTATTTTGGTTTGTCACCAAATTGTCTGGCAACAGTCTTGGATTATATTTAATAACAGTAGGCAATTTGCTAGGTTTGTCATAATAGTGTTATAATGTCAGTGTTATGAGGACGCAAAATTAATCACTATCGTGAAACAGACTTCAAAATTTTTCTAGTTATTCAGAAAATTACAATCCTATCATGCTGAGCTTAAATATAATACTCCAAAGTAGGTTATATTGACTTCATTTTTTTTTTCTTGGTGGTTTATAGACAGCTTTTTCCCCCTTATGAAGATACTGGAGTAATAGAAATACCAAGATGGACCAACATAACCAAAATAACACTCCAGATGGTTCAGGAGATGTGCCTTTGAAGCGCAAACGTGGTCGGCCACGGAAATATCCACGGCCAGATTCGGAGGAGGGTTCCTATATCCTAGCTAGTCAAAATAAAAGGCATACTCCTGTTCGTGCTGAACAAGCTCCAATACCTCCTGGATTTGAAGCGGTTAATGGAAATCAACTTCAAAGGGGTCAAGAGAATCATTCAAATAATGCCATGGTGGGCCAGCTAGTTTCTGGAGTAATTGAGGCTGTATTTGATGCTGGCTATTTGCTCAGTGTTAGGGTTGGTGATTCTGATACTACTTTGAGGGGGTTAGTCTTCAAGCCTGGACGATATGTTCCTATTTCACCTGAAAATGATGTTGCTCCAAGTGTTCCAATGATCCAAAGAAATGAAGTTTCCTTCCCTTCAAGATCTGCTCAGGTTCAAACTCCTCTCCCAAAGGAAAGGAATGAACAGGCTGTGAATGTTCATAGAGTTGAACCTCTTGCAATGAATGGCTCGCCATCTGCCCCTCAGCCTCAGGTACCTAGAGGAGCTGTTAGTTCTAGTAACTTCGTTGCCTCTTCTGGAAAGAATGTGCCTTCTGTGACAAGCCAGACCACTCATCAATTATCCAGAGCTAATATCGTGCCTGTATTGCTCCAACCTAATAATTTTTCAAATGGGGTACCAGTTTCTAATCAACCATCACAAGTCAAGACCCAAGTTTCTCTAGGGAGTGGAGTGATTGCTGCCAAAGAAATTCCTGTAGATGGAAATCAAGCGCTTACCTCTCATACTCAAACTAGCCAGAATTTGTTGCCAAGTGGCGTGCAAAGTGAAGATGTTCCACATGTTCCACATAATCTATCTTCACCTAATGTGGTGACTGAAGATGAAGCCAAATCTATGAGAATGCCTAGCATGCCTTTTGAGCATCTGGTTACTGAAGTTGTCAAGAGGATCCAAGCTCCGTCAGATGCCATGGATACTGAGACTGACAACAGGAAGACAGGTGACAATATGGTAGTGAAGGATCCAAGCAGTAGGCAGGAAGACAAAGTTAATGACATGGATCAAGCTATCTTGATTAAGCCTCTGCAAGCTGTACAGTCTCATCCTCAGGAAAGCTTGGCATCGGCTCCCAAACCTTTGGACTATACTGAAACTAGCAGAGTGGCCGAGCTTTTGCAGGTAAAACAAAGCTTTGACTTATTTATATTTATTAGGCATGTAAGTGGGAATTGGGGCTGGTGGAAAAAAGCTTTTTGTTACCCTTTAGGGTCTGTTTGGATAAATTTCTCTAAAAATACTTCTAGGAGAGAAAAATAGGAAGGAAAAATGAAGTAAGTTTTAACATAAGCTAAAATTAACTTATTCGTAAGCTAATATGTAGAAGCTTTCTCATATTAAATTCTCTAAAATCTTATTTTCAACTTATGCGTAAGTTAGTTTTAGTTTATGGAGAAGTTTATTTTAATTTTTCTTCTTGTTTTTTTTCTCTTAGAAGTGCTTTAGGAGAAGTTTATCCAAACTTGCTCTTAGTATACTATGTATCTAATTTTTGTGACGTATTAATGTATTATAATTTAACAAGGTTTTGCAGCATAACAAACCGGAGAACCAGGCATCGAAAGCAGCGGAGCTAGGATCTGGAAACAAATTGGATGATATAAGGAATTTAGGAACTGGACTTGAAGATGGTGGAACCGTTCAATCAACAAAGCCTTTCTGAGCATTGAATGTCTGCTTTATAAACTTTATCATTAGTGGCTATTGTGCCAGCAGGTTTATCTGTCATAAAGTAGGTAAATCTGGCATAGTGAAATATTTACTTATTTAGTTTTTAGTTCTAGTCAAGGACCTTAAATAATTTTAAACTTTAAAGCCTTATTGAGTTTTGTGGAGGAAAGGTAGCATGTGATAGTTCAATTTGTTGTCTTTATATTAGAGACCCTACCTTCAAGTCGGATGTTAATTACTTTCTTAGCAAATCAATTATTGTCCAAAACTTTAATTGAATGTTTCAAGCCATTTTATCAGGCAGTTTGTTGCATTGTGTGCTTTGTGATTCTTTTGTTACATTTGTTTTTCCTGTTGTATTTGTTGCTCATCTAGTTTTTGATCTGAAACAACTGTCTATTTTGTAATAATTTTGTTCCACGAGGTCCATGGGACTTGTGTCAGAGAATTCCAGTTAACATAAGTTAGTTTTACCCGTTATTATCATCGAGGGTTGGGTCTAGTAGGATCTGGTTTCCTGAAATGTGGTGAACAAGGATTTGAATTCTTGTTGAAAAAGGTGTCCAGCTTTAGTGTTATGCTTATAAGGTGTTGTTTAAAAATTAATTGAATATGTATAATTGAATTTCTAAGTTTTGATAACTGCTAGTGTATGGATGTAGAAAGAATTTGGAGGTCCACATTGTTCTTAGATCATGTTAAAGGATTTCTACTTTCAATGTTGTGTCTAGGAACTCGCTTTTTTTCTTTAGAAGTTGTGTGAAATACATTTTAATGGAATTAATTTTGAATAGTTAAATTTGATTTAAATGTGTTAGCTACAAATTTTACATCGGAACTTGTCATTGTGAAAAATGAACTTTAGTTAGCCAAATGGACACCAAGATGAAACTTAAATAATATAATACGCTTTTATTAAATTAAGATAATTTTCTTATAATAAAAGTTGCGAAAGTTCACAGCCATTTAAATCATTTTATGATGAAAGAAAAATTAGAGGTAAACACAGTTTAAAGAACGTAAGCTCCTTAGAGGTAACTGTTGTTCAAAATCCAATACCATAATTCATTAAAAAGTTGATTGTAGAATGAAAGAGAAAAAAAAGATGAACGATTTGTGATTTTATGTTAGGTTGGAGAAATACTGAGAAGGGAAAAAATGGGGCAATGTTTTATCGTCTTACTTGATATATTAGAAAATAATATAAAATAAAATCTGTACAGTAAATTTGTCTAAAGTAAATTTTGATTTTGTACAAGGAATATATATTTTTATCTGAGATCTATTTTTTCCTTTTGTTTTATTTTTTTTGAACTAATTAAGCAAGAGTTGATTTTGTTTTTCTTACTATATTTTATCTTTTTTCTCTCTTATTAGTTAAAAGTTACAAATTCTGATAAATTCTATTACTAAAATAGGAGAGAGACTTATTAAATAAAATGCATGACAATTAAAAATATTTTCATATTTTATTATAAATAAATTTAAGATTTTTATATAAATAAATAATACATATATTAATACTCATAAAATCATAAATAATACCATCAAGTACGGGAATTGATTGGTACGGGATTTTTCCAATTTGATCACTCGGGAGTTCAAATTCTCAACATGCAAATATATTAAATATTTGAGGAAAAACTTTACGATCTATAATAACTCCACCAAACTCCAACAAAATTAATTTCAATGAAAAATGTGGTATATAGCAAAATTGAAAAAAATTATATAATAAATCTATTCTGGTTAAGAGCAGTTTTACATGAGTAACTATTACACAATTCAGAATTGCTACGAGACTACTTTACATAATATATGGTCATGTTTTAACACAACTCAATTATATATCGTGAAGACCGGTCACAATTACGACAATTCGAAATCATGTAATAATTTGTCTTCTGACAAGAGTTACTTTTCTGGTTGTTTAACTAATAGGATTTATTAATCCACGGACGTGACCTACTTAATATGCCAAAGTTAACAAATCAAAGACGAGACATAATTTTCTACTAATTAATCATTATTTTAACACTGGTAGAAATCAATTCTAGTTGGTTGAAGTGCAGCTGGTTTAACTCCTCTAAAAATATCCAATCCATAAAGGACAAATATAAATAAAGGAAAAGTCATTCAAGCTCAAGTTACTAAATAATCAACTGAGATCTACATTCAATATGCTTAATGTTTATAAAGAACTCATTCAAGTTCAATTGCCAAACATACAATATCAACCTTTAAAGGAAAAATCTTTCCCAACACCAAACATACAATTGAACCTTATCTTCAGATGAAGACTCCCAAAACCTTGACTTCAAACAGCTAAAGTATCACATAATTTTGCCAGCTGAAAGCCACTGTACACTCAGTTCTCACAAATAAGAGAAGACAAAATTTTTTAAGCATAATCTATCAGAAAAAAACACAGAAAAGAAAAATGAGCCTTAACCCAGAGAAAGGGATATTAACACCAGAATCTGAATGAAAAATTGACTAAAACTTAGTGCCATAGAAACCATTTGGTCCCGGGACTGAAATAGGTCGTGTGACAGGAAAGCCAGGTTGCAGAAGTGGAATGTGGCTTTGAAGTGCAAAGGGCTGATGTCCACTTGTTAGGACAGGTGGGGGCACACAAACTGGCATTGCTGGACCAATTGTTCCTCCTGCTTTTGGAAAATAGAACCATTAGCACAACATATTTGGATGACAAAATCTTTTTAGGCTATATGCAGTTCTAGCATAAGCATAGCTTGATTTACTCTATGCTATGGTATCAAAAAGCTAAAGGTTAATGAGTGTCCTTAGGACACTTGGTAAATAGTAAGAGATCATGCCGAAATGTTTGTTATTTGTGGACCGTGCAAGTAAATAGTTTATGAAGAGGACAATAATAAAGATAATTTTTTGAATCTGACTGCATATCTCTACAAGCATAGCTATGAAACTAATCCCTGAGAATGAGATGGGCTGGTTGTTGGACAAAGTTCAGTTTTTACCTTGCTGCTTCGGAAATTGTACATGATTCAACAAAGGGCGAGCTGAGACTGGTGCAACAGCTGTTGCTCCATGAATCAAATCCTTCGATCACAAGTAAAAGTGTTAAAAAGACAGTTAATGAGGGTCAAATATAATAAACATTTATAGAGGGAAAAATGCTTGTAATTTGATTTGACTATGTTGGTATTAAATGCACTAGAGATTTAATATCGAAGATCATTATTAAGAGAACCTATGGGATCGCACTTACGACAAACCCTATACCGATAAAATCTGGGTTGACCAGAATTGCTTTTAATGGGTCATTAAATGAGGATTTGATACTTCAATTTGATTTACATATTAGTATCTAATATGCTGATACTCTTGGATACTTCACCACTATATGTCCATGAAGTATCTAAACCTATTGAAAAATTTATGAAAATCCAATACAACTACATTAGACAAACATGTATGATATTGAAATATGGAAATATTGTCCAATGATGAACCCAAAAATAAAAATTGTTCTCTTTATGGATGATTTCAAGAAAGGAATGAAATTTATAGTACTATTTCTATTTGTAAATAATAGGAAGTAATTTCTCATGACGATGATTTATAATTTGATTTTTTAGTAATGTCCAATAAGTATGTTTCTTATATATTTATTATGTTTTACGAACATTTATGCACTTTTGTATCTTACACTTATAGTATCTTGTATTTTTTTTTTGAATAATCGTATCACATCAGATTCATATCGTATCTGATACACATATCATGTGTAGATCATATGAGAATTCATTAGAATTGAGTTATAGTATAGTTGAAAAGAGGTATCACTCTTATTATCCACTGGCGATTCCTTAATGTAAAATTTTCTACAAAATTAATTTCTTTCAATTTTTTTCTTAACCTTCTTTTATCAGGACAAATTGAGGAAACTAACTTCCAAACTGAGAGTTATAGGGCATGCTATCTTACATGGGAAACTGGCTGAACATAGACTAACTGCGGGGAACGTCCAACCATAACCTGCATTCAGAAAAAAAAAAAAAAAGAAGTTAATATCTTGCTTATGGCTGATTCTTAAGCATATAAATACTGACTATCTCTAAAACAGTTAAACCAATTATTAGAATTCACCATAGAAAACTCAAATTAGATAGATGGAACCTAAGGTATTTTTGTACTTACAGCAGGAGAGCTTGGTGGCAAATACGCAGTTTCAGACAAAACAGGAGTGTAATGTGTTGCATACCGTAGAGGTTGGGTTCTATGTGCCACATGTCCTACAATCTGTTGCCAAAGAAAATCGACAAAATAACTACAATGAGTACTGAGAAGTATTTCAGATTGTTCTTGCATTTATGACAAAAGCTCATGCAAGAACAAATGCAAACGAGACAGAATATAAGAAAATTTATTAATACGTACAGGTTGAGAAAACTGAGAGCCACTGCCACCATTTCCCACAGTCAAATTATTATACTGTGCAACCTTAACAGGCACTGATGGCCGGGAAGCAAAAGTATTGAATCCAACTTCTGGTTGAATACTAGCAACAGGTACCACAGGAGAGCTATTTGGTATGTATACCATGTTTGCAGCAGAAGTTGCTGACATAGGATTCGTAAAAGAAGGAGAGAATGTTTTGGCGGCTGGATTGAGCTTAAATTCCTAAACGAATGTCATGACAAGAAAAAGTTAAAAAGTATATCCACATTCATTAAAAAAATTATCACATTATCTTTTATGCTGTTTGGTAAACCAAACTAAAATCTGTGCAATTTTAAATAGGGAAAAATATATTTTTAGTCCCATTAAAATTTTTAAAATTTAATTTTAGTTCCTTATAATTTTTTTTGAACTATTTTGGTCACTTTAGTTTGAAAATACACCACTTTTGATCCTCAAGGTGGATTAGATAGTACTTAAAAATGGTTATAAAGCACTACTATCTAAACCATTTTGAGGACCAAATTAGAGGGGTCAAAATAGAATAAAAAAATTTTGAGGCACTAAAACCAAACTCATGAGTTGTTTGGCCAGCAGCTTTTGATGGAAGTGAAGCTGATTTATTTACCTTAGCATTTCTTGAAGAATCTGTAACCCTTGGAGCAGATATTTCAGCAGACCTTGCTGGCTGTGACTCTGAGATGAGATCCACACCATGGGTTGAATTTGTCGAGACAGACTCTGCTGAAGTAGACCTTTCACTACACCGATCATCAGTTTTAACAGATGCAGGAGCATTGTTGCAGAATAATCCATTATCAAAAGGACTTGATGTGCTATCTGTGCTTTCATGCTCAACAGCCACCTCTTGGCCTAGACAAGTATCAGCTGTAATGTAAGTACAGGAGAATTAAATAAGGGAACACAGAATTGTGGAAGCAATATCCTCATCCTGTGCTGGGAAGAGGGGATTTAAGTAAATTCAAGGTGAGTGACCATCACTATAGTCTATAGCTCAAATTAGATTTAACAGGTGTTGGTTAACAAGATATAAAAGAGAAGTAATATCAAGTAAAAATATTGGAAGAAAAATACACAAAAATAAAATGTTATTTTTCTGTAATCACAGCTTTGATAAAAAGGGTACACTGATATCAGGAATTCATCTTGTTGCAATCCTTGACATTGTGGGATATTACAGGCCAATGAGGCACACTTGCAGTTACGGTGAGCCCAAAAACCTTGACCTTGTGGCCAAAATCACGGTCATGGCCTGTTTTTTAAAGCCATGATAAGAATAACAAACTGACATATCGCATTGGCTATTGCCAATAAACTAACAGATCTCCACAACCACAACCGTTGCTAGTTATGCCATTTCAATATACAGAGTGGCTAAGGATAATTTTGCGTGCAGTAGATATTGGAGAAAATCTAACTCACCTTCATGGCTTGAATTGAGGCTTTGAATCTTTTCATCCTGTGGAGAGTCAAAGCTTTAGAATTAAAAAATTCAAACCATCAAAATGTGTGGAAATCCTGTTTGAATTAGTATGCATATGTCAACATACAATTTTTCCATTAACAAACCCAGACTTCTGTGTGCAATCATCAGCTTTCCCTTTTGAGTTTGACTTATCGTCTCCAGCTTGTCTGTTAAAGAAAAGTTGGCAGAAATCTATGAATGAAAGATAATGTCATAAATCATTATTTTTAAAACATTTACTCTAGAAAGTGCAAATTCTCATATTAAGATTGAAAATAAATTGGAATCATACTATCCATTAGTGTTAAGATATTTTCATATTCATCAAATGTACATCTAGTTTATGCAGATAACACTACTTCAAAGTCCATTTTTCAAGTAAAAACAACCAAACATAATACTCCAAATAGGTATATAATCTGGAAATTTGGAAACCACTTTCTACCTTCAATGGTAACCTCCTATGTCTATAAAAATTTATATTATTTAATTTTTATGGCAAGAATTAGAGAATAGTTTTTATATTATTCTAGTTTCTTTTGTTCTATCACAAAATACATAATCTAGCAAACTTTCTTTAAAACAATATGGATGACAGACTAAGTCCATCCTTCTCGGAAAGTGAAATTTGAAACCACAATACTTTCGCCATTGTCCTCAATATGTATAACCCATATATCATGATAAGATCATGCCTTAATACCATTTGCTAACACCCCAACTATCAGTTAGCAATGTAGCTTGAACACTCCAAATCAAAGGACTGAGATGGTTAAGCCCCTGATACTGACACTGTTAGCACGCTACATATGCCAATCTTTATCATGTTAAGTATGCAAGACTAAAGCTGATGCACAAAAAAATCATCACATAAAGCCTGTGGGACACAAGTCAAGCCACCTGACACCCGCATTCCAATTGTAGCCCTATCCTACCTTATTTATTTTTCTTTTTTCTAGATAAGCTGTGAAACTTAAGCTTTCATAACTCGATAAGAGAAATAAAAAAAGTTAACCAGAGTTCATAGATGGACAAAGCTTAACGATCATCATATTTATAATAAAGAGATTACTTGAGGAATGTAAATTTATAAAGAGACCAAGGAAAAAATAGATAAGTGTTTAACAAAAAATTATACATATTTTGCTTGCTAAATAAGACATGAATCCTCGGGCAACCAGCAGACTCAAATTGTGAGAGCATTTGGACAAGTTAACATAGGTTGCAAAATATTGGAAATTAACAATTGGCAGAAAAGCACCCACTTATTCAAATCAGAAATTTTTGTAGAAAAGATTGCTCAGCAATGACATGTCAGGAGGTGTGTGTATGGTGTTTCAGGGGATTTTTTTTCTGCATTAAAAAAGTATAAACCAAAAGATAAGGTGGCAATTGGCAAGCAAAGAATATAAAGTGAATGCTTCTGTTGGATGATGGTTATAAAAAAATAATAATAAATCAACTTAAGCAGGCTTAACACACATCTCTTCATCAATGTGAACAAGTTTCATAGAAGATATCATAGTACCTTGATTGATTAATCTGTTTTGCATCCATTAAAGGCCCTGTATGATTCTCTACCTCACATGTTTTACTCTCGGAACAAACACTATGTGCAACTGCTTCCTCATCATCACCAGTTATGTTTCCACCAACACCATCTGCAGGAAGCATTACTCCCTTCACACAAAGCAACACGTGCATTAAGCACATAGTTACATTATAATCAAGATATGTTTGAACTCAATAGAAGAAACATTGCAGGATATTAGTGTCTTACCTTAGCAACAACTTGCACTAGATCACCAGATAGAATCACTAGCGTGTCCACCAAGCCCTCATTTCCCACATTGGTGTTGCCCTTTCCCTTCTTGGTCATCCTTGCTTTCTTCAAAACAATACCTGGACATGGCACAAAGCAAAGCAATGCTACAAGTTTTAGTTATACAAAAGATGTTAGCTTAAATATTAAAAACTAGGTGAATATGCTGATCACCCATTTTAATCCGTCTATATGAATAACAAACAAGATGAATCTAATATTTTTCGCACTCCCAACAACAAAATAAACGTTTCGTATAAACAAGTCCAGTAACCCCAAGATCCAATAGTGAAACAAAGGTGTCTCTATAGTTGTCTGCCCTCATTTTAATTTTTAATCCCTATCCGAGAAGATGATAAGTTTTAACCTCTACACAGATTTTTCTAGATATACTGCCAAAAACTAGGTTTTATATCGCCAAAAAGTTTTCTCTCATATTATAAATAGGTTACCAAAACTTAACTTATATATGCTATGCATGTATAAGAACTAAAACTAAAACTTACAGTTTTCCAATTACAAAGACAAAATGAATAATTAGAGCAAAAACAAATACAATTACAAGAAGAAAAAAAATTAACTACTGATTCAATTCCTCATATTTTTTCATCTAATAATAGCCACAGAAAACAATTTGAATTGAGGCTCAAAACCATCGACAGCCTCAGGATCTATGACTAACGTTTCAGCAAAAGCAAAAGAAAGACAAAGAAAGCCACCCCAGATGCAAAATCACACGCGATTGTTCAAGAAGGGAAATGGGAAATCTCCAAAATACAAAATTTTTCACAACCCAATTGAGCCTCGAAGAAAATATACGAAATGAACTATAGAGAAAGAAGAAGTGAACCGTAATCGGCGTGAACAGAAGCAGTGTGGAAGATTCCAGAATAGACAGAGCCATCCTTAACGTGAACATCGACAGGGAGGCCAACGATGCACATGGTCGTCAAAAGCAAGGCATCGCTGAGCGAAGAAGATGAACAAGTGTGATCCTCTGTGAAGGAGTCTCTGTTTCTGCAACCCATTTCCAGTCTCTAGAAGCTTCTACCTTTTCTTCTATTGTAACTGAATCAAGAGATCTGGCTGAGTTTCGTTAAGACAAAGACCGAGCACGATACATACACAACACTCGTGTTCTTCTTCCTTATATTATTCATTATTCATTATTCATGCCATGTTAATACTGTATCTCTAATCTCTATGCTGATTCCGGAAACTATGGAAATTTACGGTTGTTTCGTAAGTTTCTAAATTTAAACATTTATTAGCTTTAATTATAATTTAATATTATCATTTAATTCATGTATTATTTTTTTTTTAGAATTTTAGATTAAGGTGAATAACGATTTATAATTTCAAATTTTTATTTTTCTTATGAAAAGAAAGATAGTAACATAAAGAGTAAAAAAGAAATATGAAAAAGAAAAAAAAACTTATTCTTAGGGAGGATTAAGTTATTTATAAGTACATATAGTAGTAGCTGAATAATTACATAAAAAATAATACATAAGAAAATATAAATGGTAATAATGTATATTGAATATTGATATTTACAAATTAAGTCATCAATTATTATTTATGACACGTAAAATTTGTCTTGTTAAAAGCTTACGAGGAAAAATCCTATGAGATAAAAATTTAGTGAAGGAAAAAAAAGTTTATCATTTTTAAATATTTATTTCTCCTCCTTATGCATACAAATATTTTTAAGAAGACGAAGTCCAATCTTGTGTATCAAATGCTCAAAAACTTTTCTTGAAAGTGATTTTGTAAATAGATATGCTAGATTGTCATATGAGCAAACTTGTTGAATATTTATATCACTATTCTTTTGAAGATCACGAGTAAATTTTTTTTTGTAGAATATGCTTTGTTCTATCTCCTTTTATGTATCTATTTTTCAAATGTGCAATACATGCAACATTATCTTCATATATAACTACTGATGTAATTTTTTTTAGAAGATAAACCATAAGTTTCTTGTACATGTAGAATCACAAATCTTAGCCAAACACATTTTTGACTTGCCTCATGTAATACTAAAATTTCTAGATGATTAGATGAAGTAGTTGTTATGATTTGTTTTACATAGTTATGAAATGGTTGTACCTCCAAATGTAAACACTTATCCTATTTGTGATTTACCATTATGAGTATTTGATAAATAATATGCGTCTACATAATCATTTAGTTATGGTTTGAGAACATTTTAATATAATGACTTCATATCCATCGTACCTTTAAGATAATGACCTCATATCCCTATATCAAGTTGTGTATAATTAGCAAGATACGTTAGTGTTCTTATAACACTATATATAGTACTTTAGGACCAAGTATTTCTTTATCCTTTTCTTGGGAGTCTAAATGAACCTTTGTTAACATCTAAAGATCTTACTGCTATAAGGGTGCACAATGGATGTGATTTGTCCAAATAAAACCTTTTAAACACTTTTGTTATGTAAGTTTCTTGATGTATAAAAATTCTATTTCTAAATATTCAATTTATAGTCCTAAGCAAAACTTTATCCTTCCTAGTTATTTTATTTCAAATTCTTTCTTTATGCAATCTATTACTTTCGAAAGTTCTTCAGGAGTTTCAATAATGTTTTATGTCATTTACATAAACAATTATGAAAAATCAATTTTTATAAATATACACAAAAAATTGGATCACTTTTATATCTTTTTTTTCTTCTTCACTTATACGATTATACCACTTATGACCTCATAACTTTAGTCTATACATGGATTTATTCAATTTGATAGAGTAATCTTCTCTAGAAATTACATCGTTGGACAAATAAAATCCTTCAAGGAGTTTCATATAAATGTTAGTATCAAGATTCATATTTCAAGAAAGTATTTTCCAATATAGAGAGAAAGGGGAATTTTTTTTTTGTACTTTAAGATTTTTGAACACTAATTTAACCTTTTTCTTGGTGAGCCTATATTTTAACAACAAACTTCAGTTTGTTCATTGACTTAAAAACATGCAAAACCAAAACATATATGAAAATATGTTTGATAAGTATGATGAATTGATTATGTTGATCAAGCTAAAAGTAATGTAACAAGCTCCCCACGAAAGAGTGCATCAAAATCTCATAAAATCTATATATGCATATTTCTTTTCCTTTGACTACAATAAAATGACTAGTTTGGGGGATGAATCATCTATTTTGGAGAAAGATCTAATTTGAATTTAGATGATGTGGAACAATGACGAATACAAGAATGGGTTGAGTTGTGTTTATAAAAAATTTCAACATTATATGTACACCCACATAACGAGGGAGACATACAAAACAAAAAAAAATTATACTAATTTATATCAACTATTGAGATTATGTCCAATTTTAATTAACATAATCAAGTTTCATTATCTTTAACAAAAATACAAAGATATTCTTTTATAAGTCACTTCTAACACAATTAATCTAACTGTTTTTTGATTTGTATGTTTCTTTAAGCAAATTATCCAAGTATTCTTTTTAAGACAAAGCTTCTCCACACTTTACAAACATCAAGTATTTTTTTAAATACAAAGCCTCAAGACTTAAGTTAAAAAAATACAATTTAAACTATGAAAAAACAAGGTTTCATCTTTTTTTTTTTTTATTTAAAAAATAACAAAATAGATAAAATTGAAAAGTTAAAGTCAAAAGTCAACAAAATGTTGAAATGATCTATAATTTGAAAATTGGTAACACGTTTTTTTTTAAAACAAAAAAAACTCCTGGAGCACCACATTAAAATTCTAAATCTATTTTTGATTTTCTTAATTTTTTTAATGATTTTTAAAAATGCTACAATACTTAAATTTTTCTAAAAGTGGCCTAAACAATTAAATTCGGTGATTTTTGTCAAGGCTAGGAATACCTCTTTCATTGTTTACCTATAGTCTAAATCCTTATGGTGTGTTTGGATGAGGAATTTATATAGGGTAATTCATTTATTTGAAGAATTTTAAATTCCTTGAGGTGAAATGCTTTGTTTGGATGAGGAATTTATATAGAATTTGAAATTCAAGCATTTGTGAAATTCCTTAGAATAGTATAATTTCAAATTCTCCCAAAAATAAGAGAATTTGAAATTCCTCATATTTGTTTTTCTTATTTCACCTATATATTTTATCTTTTCTTTTCATTCTTTTAATTATTAGATATTCAAAAATATTTTTAAAATTATTAAATATTATCTTATATTAATTTTTAAAATTATTAAATATTTAAAAATTAGCTAATATTTATTTTTATAAAATTTATTTTAAAAATCTCAACATATAAATATATTTTTAAAATTAATTTTATCATGATGGAATCAAATTATCATATCTGACCTAATAATTTAAATTTTGAGATATTTGAATTGACTTATCCAAACAAAATATTTTAAGAATGATAGAAATTGAAATCAAAGTAATTCAAATACCAAGAATTTAAAATTCCTTGAATTTGTAAAATTTCTCGTCCAAACACACCATTAATGTTTTTGTTATTATTCGAAAAAATTTCAACTTAATCACGGCTAGTAAAAAAAAAAGACTAAATTACTCCAACCGGATGATGGATTAACCTTGGACACCAAGCTTTAGCACATATCTCCACAGTTTAGTAACACCTATAATAATTGCAAACATTGAATTGCAATTTACTTTTGATTAGTATATACATAGAAACAACTGTGCAAATAAGCGATAAATGTGATCAGATTTAAGGCAAAATAATTTGTGTCTTGCATAACAATACAAGTATTTATAGCAATGGTGAGTTACTACCAAAAACTATTATGTTTCCCTTAATTTTGTAGTGTAAGACCAAACATAGATTTTTTTTTTCACGAAGACACAAATATATTAAATGTAAAATTATCACATAAATAGAGTAAAATTTGATTCATAATTCATGAAATTAACAATTGAAAGAACGAAATAATAAACAATTGAAAAAGTCATTAATCTAACAATCAAATCTTGGAGTAAAATTATCATGGTTCATCAATTGTATTCGAATTCAAGCAATGTTATAATTACAACACAAATTCCATTAGGTCATTATCTAATATTTATTTACAAAAATGAAAATTTCAATCTAATTATCATGAATTCAAGAGCAATTAATGGTTCATTCAAAGAATTAATTAATTATCTCACCTCAATTTAATTAGATTAATCAATCTAAATCTAATTCAATTCCAATTCCAAGAACAAATCATGAACATGAAAAGTGAAATCAAAATTGGAAAAGAGTAGAGGAAGAGATGAGTAGGAACAAGAATTTAAAGAAACTTTTTTTGGAAGCTAACCTAAATTCTAAAACATGATGCTTAAGTTGCACAGTTAAGTAACTTATGACTTATTTATAGATTTCTAAATTCATGGGCCAAATCAGAACTAATAATCTTATTAACAAGTTAAACTATTCTTAAAATGGGTTCTTAATAAAATAGTCCAACTTAAGTGTAGGATTAAACACTTCATGCGAAATTTTGGACCTATTAGAGTTTGAATTGACATATACTCGTGGGAAGTGAAATTAATGTTATTTGTCTTAACTTTCCAAATCTACCAAGTTTGTCCAATTTCTATGTTTATAACTCTATATATTCTCCTTATAAGAAAAAATTGTCAAATGAGCAAAAATTTAAATGAACTAAAACTAAGAATTAAGCTGAATTAAGCCACTAATGTAAAATAAATTCAAATTACTAATATTAGACATAAATAATGGATGTTTAAAATATGCTATATCGATCACCACTTTAAATAATCTTAAGGAAATTTTTGTTATACAAAATCTTTATTTTTATCCCAAAGAATAATGTTTCTTGATAATATGTTTTAGGAAACACATTTTTTAAAACTATTTTGGTATGTATATGCTAAGTTCTCTACTTACATATTTCTTAGAAAACATCATTAGAATGATAAAAACTCTACTCTACTTTTATATATATATATATATATAGTTAAATAAATTAATCTCACAATATTTTTTGAACAGGACTTTCAAATGGTTATCTATATTATTGATTTTAAAACTCCTATTCTAAATTGATTATTAAATAGCCGATTTAGAAAGGTTGTAAAAATGGTTTGTCTCCTTCACTCTCCTGTACTATTGCTCTCCCTCTCTATCATTCTTGTTCTCACAGCAATCCTCACCTTGCCCCTTCCACTCAGGTTATTGTGGT